TATATATCACATTTCCCCTTCACATCACCACCACCCCATGAAAAGACATGACTGCATGAAGATTTTGAAGCATGCCTGAGGAAGCTAGAAGGCACCCTGGTTGAGAAAGGCTGAGCTAGATGATGCTGGATGGCCTCCAGCCAGGAAATGAGGCGGGCTCTGTCTGACTTGCTGCAGTTTCTAATGCACATTGTGAGAAGCTCGCAGTGTGGATTGAAATCAGGGTAAGTGATTTCAGTCCAAGACAGGAGCCGGTACAACTGTGCAAGACTGAAGAGGAGGCCAGACAATAGTTCACAGAGATCCATCTGGTTACATTTGTTACTTTTTTCACCAGCAGCATCCTCTATCCTCATCATCCAATCAAATAACTTCGTACTAGGGATGCACCGATACCGGTATTTCGGTATCGAGTACAAGTACCAATATTTTTTTTCCGGTACTCACCGATACCGGAAGTCCCATTAAGGAGGCCAGGCGGCGTGTAATGACTCGCCATCTTGCTTCCTGATTAGCAGGGAAGCAGTCCCCTTGCTTCTTGTCACTATGGTACGAAAGAGCAAGGAGCCGGCTTCCCGGCCAATCAGGAAGCCGGGCAGCATGCAATGACGTGCTGCCTGGCTTTCTGATACAGGAAGTATCAGGCTAGGCATCGGAGCATTTGGGTGAGTACGGTTACTCGCCCAAATACTTGGCATCGGCAACCATACTAGTATCGGTATTGGCGCATCCCTACTTCGTACGCTCAGTCAAGCCGAGCATGCAGGTTTATGGCTCCATAACCCAGACCACCCCATCCTCACACTCACCCACATCGAACTCGTATCCCTTCTCATTGAACGTATGGCAGCATCCTCCTAGCTTCCCCAGCTGTTCCAGGACCAGCACCCGCTTCCCAGCCCTGGAGAGCAGAGCGGCCACTCCTTGCCCTCCGATCCCGCTGCCGATAACGATGGCATCCAGCTTCTCCGGGACTTTATCAGTGGAGAAAACTGCAATAAAGAGAATAATGCAGGCAAGTGATATGGTTATTAGGAGTGGGATAGAACTAATATAAAATACAGATTTCTTTATAGATTTTGACCATAGATACCATTTAACCTTTTCCCTGCCAAGGCCTCCCCCCCCCTACATTTTTTGCACACATTATATAATCCACATTTTAGGCCTGAAAATTACTTTTTTTGTCGCAGGTGGGGCAACAGAGCACAGGAAACAAGGCGGGGGTGTCGGGCGGGGGGGGAACGGGCACTTTACCAGCCTGTGGAAGTGATCTGCCGGCAGTTGAGCTGCCAAAATCGCTTCCATTGTAAAGCCGGCCCCCGACTTTACAAGTGTAAACAAAGCCAGCCGCCGGGAGTCTGTTGAAACGGGCCTGCTGCCCGAGCGAAAGGGTTAAGGCAGAACTGAAGCTAAAACTAGCTTGATTAGTTTTGGATAGAGTAAAGGAAGGGGTATAACCCCAGTCAGCTTTATTTTGCTCTCTGTGTCCCAGTGGGGAGGTTTCCCTTCACTTCCTGACTGATAGTCACAGGAAGTAAGAGGAAATCCCTCCAAAGAGAGGGGGAAATCCCTGATGGTCACCAGTGCAGTACTAGTGTCCCAATTGGAAGATATTTCCCCTCTCATCCTCTACTGGTGACAACCCAAAATGTGTGATTTTCCTTCACTTTCAGTGATAACATTCACCAGGACAAAGAGGCTGAATCTCCTTAAAGGGGGCACAGACAGCAATGAAAGCATGACAGGTGTTCTAATCCCTCTCCACTCTATCCAAAAATTAAAAAAAGGTTTTGGCTTCAGATGCACATTTAAAGGGGCAGAAAAAAAGCAGAAAATTTATACCGGGGTAGCCAACTCCAGCCCTCCAGCTGGTGAGAAACTACAAATCCCCATCATACATCTACTTCTGGGAGTCATGCCTGTGGCTGGCAGAGACTTGCAGTGCCTCGTGGGATTTGTTGTTTTAGCACAGCTCACCACAGCTGGAGGACTGGAGTTTGGCTACCCCAAAGCGAATACCCTCCGTTGTCTGGTCTTGTCACCTAGGACCTTCTTGGAAAAGCTGATGAGCCCAAATCTGAGGAGAATGCCCTCCTGCACTCTTAATGTTTAAGCGAGCGTATATAGTCAGTGCAGCCAAAATCTTGTCTCTCTGGCAAATGATTTGCTATTCTGTCAGCCGTGCCTGTGATTTGCTTTAGATTGTAAGCTTTCATGATCAGGGTCCTCCTAACCCTCCTGTATTGTAACTGTACAGTCACCTTTTAGATTGTGAGGGCTGAGCAAAAATCCTGTATCATAATCATAATTCACGTACCCCTGTAGTGCTACATAGCCAGGTTGGTGACACCACAATTTCCTTTTCCAGTAATGCAGCTTCCAGGTGTCACCGTCTTGTTCATGAAGTAATGAATAAGCATCACTATAGTACTTCTTGAGCAATACTCCTCCTGCAAACGGTCTACAAACCCCCATTCCAACAATAGCATTATTTCCTGATTTTGAGTACTTAGCTAAAGCGTTCTGGAGTGCTGGTGGAAGTTTGTGTAAGGTTATGTAAGGTTATGTACTGAGATTATACAACTGTGGTTATGTATCATCTGTGATAAAGGTAACATGTCTATTAGGAATACATTTAATTTACTGAAAGACAACTTGAAAAACAGGTTATATAGCCGACACACCTGAACCTCTTCATCAGACACTATGGCAGGGGTACACAACCTCTGCACTCCAACTGTTTTTGGAACTACAAGTCCCATGAGGCATTGCAAGAATGACAGCCACGGGCTTGAAAGAGACAGAGGCATGATGGGATTTGTTGTTTTAGCACAGCTGGAATGCCGAGTTTGCCTACCACTGCACTATGGGCTCTATTAATAAAATTTCAAGACACTGGGCGATTTCTATTTGCATGGCACTAGTTTCCCTAGATGGCGCTGATGAGTATAGGTCAGGGTCGTAGCTACCATGAGGCGAGTAAGGCACTCGGCTCAGGCACAGGTAGCCTGGCTGCGCCCTAGGGTTGCCACCTGTCCCGGATTCAACTGGACAGTCCCGTATGTGCCATGTCTGGGTTTCAGCTGGCCTGAAACGCAGAAACAGCACATACAGGACTCAAAACCTTGACTGTCCAAGCGAACCCGGGACAGGTGGAAACCCTACTGTGCCCCCTCACCCCTGTTGCCATGGCGAGCACAGGGCGCAATGGCAACAGGGGCGTCAGGCGGCCAACACAGCCACGGCTCGGCAGGGAGAAGAGGGGTGGCATAGGCTCCAGCTTCTCCTCAGATCCCTGCTGCTCTCCCCCAGAGGCAGCGGGGATCTGATGGGAAATTTGCTAGGCTCACCGCTCAGCCATCCTGAAGTGACAGCACTCTCTCCTCCTCCGTCCCCCCTTTAGCATTCAGGATGGCAGAGGGGAGGATCGGTAAATATCTTTGTGCAGAGTAAACACTGGAGTGATCAGCTGATCGCTCCAGTGTTTGTAAACAACTGGGGGCACATAGTACTATTTACATCACTTCCTGTTCATTCATGAGTTTCTCAATGGGTAGAAGCACTCAGTACAGAGGCTTCTCCCCATTCATAACTGGATGATAGTAAATGTTCTACTATCACTAATTTGTGAATGAATGGGAAGCCTCTGTACTGAGTGCTTTCCATTCATTTATAACAGAGGCTGCAGACAAAGAAATCGAGGAGGACTCTGTGTCCTCAATTTCTTTTTCTATTTCAAAAGGGAAATTTCAGGGGTCTGTTTAAACCCCTAATATTTTCCCATTAATTTCATCACACGAAACAAATTTTTATGCCATTTTGGATTTGGCCACCGGCGCAGTCTACACATGCGCACAGCCATCCTGGAGGCGGGGTGCATGATGTCACATGACACCATGCGTGTGCGGTGTCGGGTGACATCACACGTCTGACTGTTGGGGGGGGGGAAGCACAATTTTCGGTTCTTGCCTCAGGCGCAAGAGGAGCTAGCTACGGCTCTGGACTATAGATAATGCCTATATGCTGGACTGATGCCACTTGCATGGCACTAGTGCCCCTAGATGGCGCTGACGAGTATAGGTAATTCCTATATGATGGACGGATGCCTCTTACATGGCACTAGTGCCCCTAGATGGCGCTGACGAGTATAGGTAATTCCTATATGATGGACGGATGCCTCTTACATGGCACTAGTGCCCCTAGATGGCGATAATGAATGAATGAATGATTACATGCAGACCGCCGCTTACAAAATAGGTTGGGAAAAAAATAGTGCATGCGTGATTTTTTTTCCAACCGCACTGCACAGCAACACACGACATTACGGTACCAGGCATTGCGACATGGTCGCTCACATTGTAGGCAGTGCATTTGGGGTGTCCGTCAAATGAATGCCAATGCAATGCACCTCCAACACACGGACTCGGTTGAATGGGCCCTTTGGCCTCATTCACATGAGAAACGGCCGGCATGTACAGCTCCGTGCACCGCCGTATTGGGCAGCTCCGGGGAAGGACAGGTGCTGCGTGTGATTAGTATGAAGCCCCTGTCCTTCTCTATGGGAGAACGCGGCCACAAGCTGCCCTACACTCACCCGCCCTGCACGTCCGTGCGGGTGAGCGTTCCCGTACCGGATGGATCCTGTCTGCGTCCAAGCCAGGACACCCACACCCATACGGACCTGCACTTGGGGTGAGCGTAGGGTAGCCTACGGCCGCTTACTCCCGTAGAGAAGGATATGGGCTGCGTACTAATCACACGCAACACCTGTCCTTCCCGTGAGCTGCCCGATACGGCCGCGCACGCAGCACGGAGCTGTACGTGCCAGCCTTTTCACGTGTGAATGAGGTCTTAAATAAATTCAGCGGTTGCTGCTATTTATCATACGAACAAAATCATTACAGAGAGAAGGAAATATCTCATCCGGGATCAATCAGAAATGAAGTTTACGTAACAGGTTCCCTGTCTGAACTTTCCTGAATT